TCATCACGATCTGCAATCTCTCAGAAACTACTCAACATCACGTGGGGGAGAACGCAGGAAGTGAAATTATTCTAATAACACAAAGTGATAGAGAAGCAATTTTAACAGAACAAATCTTCATCTGATGAATGTTGCAAATAAAAATCAAATTTGAGCTTCACATCTCGAGCTTGGACTCAGCAGTCACACCCAGGTCCGTGTTTGCAGGTGCTCAGGTGGTTCTGGTAGTATCACACATCATACCACCTGCTGATGAAGATCATGTAACATCATCAAAAGCTCCAGAACAGCTGCAAAATTGACCTTTTGGGTTTATTGTGATTGAACTGTTATTATGTTGAGAATAAATGAGTGTAATGTTTCTCAACTGTCAGCCGAACGGTTTCACTGTGTCGGCGCTGGAGAATGATCTGGCTGCACCTTCTATCGTCCTGCTGTTGGGAACAACGCTCCGGCTTGTTTGCGTTTCTTTGAACCAATCAAAATGGGCGGAGGTGGTCGTTGTTGTTGTTTCCTGCACTGAAGGTGAGTTTGAAAACGTTATCAGGCAGAGGAAGCGGAAAGGGAAGGAGAACGCCAAATAATCTGACCTGGAGTTGGAGCTGTATAAAATGTAATGAACACGTCTCTCTTCTCCAAAATGAAATCACTCATTTTCATTATGCTTCACTTTTCAAGGTGAACTCGAGGTAATATCAATCCTGAAACTTTATAAAAGCAGAGATGTGAGGTTACAGCATTAACCTGAGCCTGTTTTTATTTAAGCACTTAAATGCCAACTTTAAAATAAAATTTAAAAAAAAGTCATTTGTTAAAAGAGAAGACGGCACATTTATTAAACAACTTACTCCCACTAACACTGACGTGCAGAGGTAGCCTATGATCATGTGATACGAGGTTCACTGTTGCTCCAGGTAGCTCAGAGAGGAATAACCAATCAGCAACTAGGAGAGTGAGTGAGGGGATAACAAAGTGGATCCAATATAATGCAAAAAAAATAAAAAACTACTTTGGCATCTTGTGATTTTTTGGCTGATTCCAAACATGAACTAGTTAATGTGAATGTTTCATTCTCCCCTTCAACAGCATGTAGTTTTTAAACATCTTTAGTCAAGTACCAAAATGCCACTGCAGCTCGACCTGGAAACTGTAGGCAAGGAGAAGCGCGCTGCCTACAAGTAACTAAAATATCAAAGCAGTATCATGTGTAGTCTTGGCATGCATCAGCACAAACTCATCATTTTTTTGTGTAGGATTTAGAACAATTTACAGCCACGTGCAGTCGTGGAAAAGTACTGAAATATACATCCTTATATAATTCCTAGTACAGTTCCTCTTCTGTTTTTCCATTACACTTAATTACAGCGTAAAATGCTACTTCATGACTGTAGAGGTACGATCTTCTCTAAGGGTTTAAAAAGCAAAAATAATACGCATATATCTATTTCATATTAGTTCAAACTCTTGTCAGATGTGACATGGTTCATGTGGAGCGTGCTGAGTGCCGGTAGGTAAAGCCGTGTGCAGGTAACAATCGTGGGATTCACCTTCCCTACGAGTCCCTGTGTTGCACTAGTGATGAATCCTGACACCGCACACGGCAGGAGATTACTCCAACCGTCCAATCACAGGGAACTGGCATGTAAACTGCCTGAGAAGTCAGTCAAGTGTTAACATAGATAATCACACAAAAGTAAGTATGTATATGTGTGTGTGTGTGTGTGTGTGTGTGTGTGTGTGTGTGTGTGTGTGTGTGTGCATGTATGTTAGCTGTTACATGTGATAAGTATGTGCAAGATGTTTTTCCATAAGTTTCCTTGTGAAGTAAATCCACAGAGCAGAGCAGATGATCTTTGACAACTTCAGCTGTGTTTTTCTCCGAGTTGTCAATCACTTTCAAACGTGAGTGTGTGTGTGCATTTCCCTCGCTACCGCATGTCCACTGACAGTTGGTGTGTTTCATCCTAACCGGAGCGAACCACAGCAGAGCAGATATTCACGGTGCAGTTAAAAGGCTTTTGAAGGTCTCACCCATTCCCACATTAACATTTCTCCATCAGCCGCTGCACATAATAGTGCGAGGCCCTGCGTGTGTCTGTGTGTGTGTGTGTGTGTGTGTGTGTGTGTGTGTGTGTGTGTGTGTGTGTGTAGATGTGATATTGCAATGGATGAAAGCAGAAACGAGGATAAAAGATCGACAGCTGTGAAAACACAGAGACAGAGATGAAGAAACTAAAGAACACAAGAAGAAGCAGCGAGACAATAAGAAAAACAGACAGACAGGGGAAGCAGTCCAACACAGGTGCTGTCATAGTCCTTAACTAAATGTTTTCACAAGCTATCAACCAGGGTTTGTCATAAATAAATTCATTATTATAACATATCATCATGTATAGCTTTTGGATGACACTACAGACTCTGTGTTTTCTGTAATGTTTTGTCTGATACGTTACTGTATGTCTTGCTAAATTTCAATTTAATATCCATTCAAAATAGAGAGCAATTTGGGTGTATTGGTTTTTCTGTCAAATATCAACAGTCTTTCTCCAGCGTTGCTTAATTCACCTTTAATTAATTTTCAAAATGCCCATCTATAGATGTTCACTGAAACATTAGCTTCAGGACAATTTTCTTCCATTTTTCCATCCCATTTAAGGCATTTTGAGGACCAGACCCCTCTGCACTAAAGTGTGAAAGGACCTCATACAAAGCAGCATTAATAACTCCTCTGCTACTCTTGGTCATTCACGCCATTTTGTTGCTGCATCCTGTATGACACTGTGTTCATGATAAAAATATATCAGCCTCCATCACCCCAGAATCTCTCCTCTGATTCACCAAATGTTCAACCTCAAATGTCTCTTTCTGTGATACTCGGATGCATTTGTGGTTAAAGGGTCTTAAAATGTGCAGGAACAAGTAACTAACTACATCTAACAGAGAATCAGAGTGGAGTTAATGGACCTGAGATGCAAAAGGTAAACATGAGAATACAATAAACATAGTTAATAAAAACAAAAAGGTACCTCAAATATAGAGCAGACATCATGTAGTTAATATGACACTACTATATGAGCAATAGCAGATTAATATATGTTTGAAGTTTTCACTGACTTTTCATTATGTATCCTGGTATTTGCAACATGAGATAATGTATTCTCTCTTATTTTTATACTTTTCACCAATCAAAACAAAAGCCATACTCGCGACTCGAGCATGTGACTCGTGACACATTCATCTGCAGTTTGTGAGAGATTCAAGGCTCCAGGTTAATTTTAGGTTTCAGTATCAAACTGGAAGACAGATGGATCAGCAGGAAATCTGCTCTCCACAGTGCGACCTGACTCAAACGTCATCACTGCGGGTACAGTATATTTGTAAAGTAGACATTTTCAAAAGAGAGAGCGAAAACAAAGAGTGTGGGTGAAGAGAAGAGACCTCAAGAGGGTTATAAAACGACTCCACTCCAAATGGAAAGACAAAAAAAAAAACATGAAGGAAAAAAGCTAAAGGTGGTTTGGGCACAGAGAGAGAACTGGCATGAAAATTTAACAGTGTGGGGGGGGCGACAGAATAAAAGACTGTGAGATATAAATGAATGAGTGGATGGATTTTTGCCTGACACCCTGAGTCTGGCTCTGACTGACAATCTCTTTCCTCCACTAACCACCTTGCTGCTCTCTGCGCTTTCAGCCGTCAACCAAAGGGAAGCAGCGGTGGTGGGCGGGGCACGAGGCCTGATCCAGAACTGATCCAGAAGCAGATTTCCACTTGTTATATGGGAAAACCATGTTCAACAAAATATTAATCACAGCAGAGTATTTTTACACAGTTTAAAATAATGTCTGGAGAGGAACTTCAAACCTAAAGTTCAGTTTAACCGAACTCCTTGGGTTGAAACTTTCAGGTCAGTGACATCACGGTGCACTGACCGCACCGCGAGTACAGCTCGACATCACTGCAGCGGGGTGCAACTTCAACAACTAGAGGTCAGAGAGAAAGCGTTAAGCTGCCCTGATGCATTCGTTGGACTTTAAAATGAAGTGTAAGGCGAGGTTCGCAGTGTGTGCTGGTCTTTCTGGCAGCGTGTAATGTTCCCACTTTAAAATGTGGTCGGAGAGTGACAAAGCCAGGCTGCTTTTTCTGCAGCGACGGGCGACTTCCTGGAGACGGTGAAAACCAATAATTCACACAAACCTGCAGTGTAATGAGCTTTCAGAGAGCTTTCCAGGGCACAATGACACCGACTGTCTAGGCCTTTGATAGACACTTGCTCCTCCACATGATCCCACACGGTCACGCACACACACACACCCACCCACACACACACACACACCCACACACACACTCAACCTCTCCTCACATTTGCAGCCCCTGCAAGTCAGCGTTCAGCCCAGTTTCTAGCCGTGAAAGCGCTGTGTCTTTGAAGGTGGGGAGTCAGACGACAGCTTTTGGCTGTGCCAGCGTCACGTCCAACCAGCCAGAGAATCGGGGTCAGAACCAAATTATCTCCCAAAGGTTGGGGGGAGGTGGGCGTGGGGGGGCAGAGGACAACAGGATGAAAGAGGAGGGAGGGAGGGAGAGAGGAGAGGGGTGAGGGGAGTGAGAGAGATCTCTAAGTTACCGGGGAAGCGACTGTCCCCTGCAGATGAAGAGTGAGGCTGGGTGTGCGTCAGCAAAACAGAAAAGGACGAAGCAAGAGGAGGAGTGATAAACCGCCGGCGGGGAGCTGACGGTGGTTAACCTCATCTGATCGCCACTTTATTTGCTCAACAGTTTATAGGCTGATGTAAATTTTTACAGCCTGATGTAAATTTTTATGATAACTGGTGAAAGCCGTGTGGGGATTGCATCCTTTATGGTTCGATCGACCATTCAGTAAAGCCGAGCAGCCAGCGACTGTCCGATCAGAGTTTGGTAACCATAACTAGGCACAAGCGGTGGACAGAGAGACGGAGGCGCAGACAGACAGGTCAGGGGCGGGGTTACTGTTAGCTCACCTTGTTCCCTATGGCTTTCTTGGGTGGGAAGTTGAAGGTGTCCGCCTGTGGAAACTGGGTCCTCAGGTGGTTGTGGAGCTCCCTGAACTCTGTGTAACGTCTGTACACATTCCACTCATTGTCCAGGATGCGGATGTACACCTGAGGAAAGGAAAGGTAAGACAACGTCACGGTCATTATCGTCTCCTCACAAACCTGTGGAGGCCTCCAATTAAAATTAAAATCATGGCTGGAGAGACAAAGTGGTTCTGTGGTTCATACTGGTTACTGAGTGGATCAGCTTACAGGCATTTCCCCCTGTGGGATGTTTTCTAATCAAACGATTCGGTTATCAAATGTGCTATAACGAAAACAAAAGAAAACACACCAACAGCACACTGTGTTTTTTGCAGTTCACATGTTTGTCCTCGAGCACTTCCAATAAATAAACGAGATGTGTGAAAGAAGGACTTCCTCTCATCCTCGTGAATGTGTATTTTCACTTACATACTGCGACAACAAAACCGAGAAAGAGTCTGTCTATAGAGGTGACTGTGCTGCCACCATTTCTATGCACCATTAGCTGCTTTATTCAGACTCACGGAAGATAGAGGCAGCAGAGAGAGAAGGAAAGATGAGCCTATTACAAGAAAGAGAGGGTGGAAAAAGAGCAGGAGCTGGGTTTCATTTTCACAGTGAAAAAAAACAAAAAAAAAAACAGGGAATGCACAGAGACAAAAGAGAAAGCAGAACGGCTTTTTCGAGAATTCAATTTTAAAGTGCCCAGCCACAAAAAATAGACTCGATTCAGGTACATGAGAAGAGGAATTGATTTAAAAATCGACCAAATGCACCCAGGCGCGGCCCCCCCTCCCCCCCTCCGCCAGGCAAATCAAAAAAAATAATAAAGTAAACAAAAGACAACGACGTCAAAACTGCGCCATAATGCTGCACTGCATGTTCCCTTCCAGAGCCACGGCGTCCTGAGAGTGTTCTCACGGCCATTACTGCTCCGCGACCATCTGCGTGAAGCTCCACACAACACAAAGTCGAGAAACGAGAATAGGTTTATTTCTGGAGGTTTATTTCTGGCTCTGAATAGTTGTCAGTACATAACAAACCCTGGGCAGCGACATTCAACTTCAACATTGTGAGTCACCTTTAACGTAACTTTAGCGTCAGGGTCACATGGAGCCGACTGAGCGTGCGTGCCGTTCCAGTTACACTGCAGTGTGGTCGGCCGCTGAGCTGCTCCGCTGGGGCACTGGAGCCGGGGCTTAAGGCACCAGTACACTCCCAACAGAAATGCTTGTCAGAGGTCCAACAGCGTCTGAAACCCCCGTCTCCCCAATACCTTACAACGTCAAGAACTGACGCACACTTCAGCAGTTACCCAGAAGTGCAGAGGGCGAATCTGTGAGTCCGTACCAAATCCATCCAACACTTGTCAAAACATCCAACTAAAAAAAATAAAAAATATCTAACTGGTTTCATCATCTGGGAGCTGTGAACGTCTGTAGAAAACGAATCTATCCAGTAGCTGTCCAGACAGACATCTCGCTGAATAAGGGAAAAGTTTGACTTTCTTGAAAAGCCACAGGATCACCAAACTCTCAGATTCATCCTCTGGTGACCATAAATGTCTGTACACACTTTCATCACAAATTTCCCCATTAGTACTTTATTTGACTTTAAGACACTTGAATTAATTTTCTTCTTAATCACATTTCCATGATTTAATGCCCTTTTCAGATGTGCAACGGGCCACAGGAACTGACTGCATTTTGCATTCATGTCAAGCTCCGGGACATTTTGACGGGCGCAGGAGCAGGTAGATAATGACAGAATTTTTTGTTTTGAGGTGACACTTTCCTTTATTCAGTGATCTTTGTCAGCACGCATGCTACTGCGCAGTCTAGGTTACATGACAAACATGAAAAATGTGGCATTTTGGATAGCCATTAAGAAGAGACTGACAGCTGAAGCTTTGTTAGCTGTCCTGAATGTCCCGCTGTTAATATTTCAGCATCGGTGACAGACATGTCTAGACACCGTTAATGTTATAAAAAGATATGAGAAAATGACACTTCGCAGTATAGTTGAATTAAACGCTCCATATCATGTACCGTCATTTACATGGACGTCTACTGACTAAGTGGGAGGTGAGAAAGTATACCTTCTCTCTGTCGACTTTATGGAAACACTCACTTTATCCACGGTGTAATTGTAGGATAATAGCTTTTAGACTTTTAAACATATGCCCTGAATTGAAGAGGCAAGTGAGGCAAAGTGCACGAGGTGAAAAGTACGACAAGGGAACTTATTGTAGTTTGGCCCGCTCGTTCAGCCGGCACTCGGCTGACTGAGGCAATTAAAGGCAAGCTGCTTCTTCTCATAGTCATGTCACTCAGTCTGAATCTGAACACACAGACGTACATGTTTTTAGATTCAGCATGACTTGACCGTCAATCTGCTTAGGGGAAGAAAAAAAAAAGATGCTCCCTATAACACAGAACTTGCCTGAGATGTTTTAAGTTTTTCTTCAGTGTTGAAGTAATCCAGCGATAACTGAATGTACATCAACAGGTGCACCGCAAACAGGAGCTGATATTCTCTAACTCTGCAAACTTTTAATGGTGCCAATTTGCTAAAAATGTCTGTCTTGAATTTGGGGGGGCCGCAGTTCCACACGCTGGAACACGCCTGCTTTACAGCAACTTGTTTAAAGAGCAGCTGCACTAAAGGAAAGACCAGAATCTGGTAAATGACAGTAGCGATTGACAAGATGGGAACAGACACGGCCGCTAATGGATTGGAGACTTGTCATCTCAGCACTTTCTGTCTGACCCACAGAGGCACATCTGAGCTTTTGCCCAACTTCTTTTTTGCAAGTTAGGAGAAGAACTGACTTGTTATGATCTGGTAGTGTGTGTGTGTGTGTGTGTGTGTGTGTGTGTGTGTGTGTGTGTGTGTGTTATGGCATCTTTCATCATGATCAAAGAGAGGGGTGGAGACTCTGACTAAACTGGGCCATGATGAATGAATCGAAGTCCCCTGTATGAAACTATTTTATGTACTAAGATAAACAAGACTAGGTCAAAACCTAGTACGTGGGGAGACCCCCCCCCGGTCGGTCACATGGTCGAGTGCGTACCATTAAGGTTGAGTCCTTAACGCAGCGGCCACAGTTCAAATCTGGCCCGGGCCCTTTGCTGCATATCATCGCCTCTAGCAACACTCAACATCGCCACTCATCACCTGCTTTCATGGCAAATGTACCGACACAACCAACCACAACAACATTTAGATATTACAGGAAATGAACTCGGCAGCCTGTTACCTGTCCAGGAGAAGAACAGCAAGTTCTCTCCGTCTCTGAAACACTTTACCAACGTTGACACATATTCACCTGAAGGCATGTGCACGGGCATCTGCATTTGTAGAACAACCAATAGGAACACTCTCTCTCTCTCTCTCTGAAAAGATCTGTGATTGGCCGAAGTTTCCAGTCATGGGCTAGAGTTTCTAAAACCTGAAAACTGAGCTGCAGTTGTCTAGTTTGCTCTCTAGATGCTGAAAGGTTGATTATGGAAATTTTCCCAATGCTGCTAAAAGATTATCGCCTCCCTCAGCTTTAATCTAGCGACAGATGGGCTCAGTTGCCAAAACTGCAGGCTGTAAATGCCCCATCCCACCCCACACCCAATTTGCACCAATTCATTTTGAATTTGCAGCAGTCAACGAGGAAGCACCAATACTCGACCGTCTGACCAATAGTGTAACTTGATCACCCAATCACTCACTCAGTCAGTCAGTCAGTCAGGGACATTCACGTTTATAGGCTGCAGATATGGATCTGCAAATTCACACCTTGGACATTTCAGCTTTTAAAAAATCAAAGAAAATGAAGGAAAATCAGTCGATGTCATTAAGTAAGTTTGGGATCTAAAGGTGTATGAATTGTTCACACATCATCTTACTCAATATTTCATAATTCACTACTTCAGTCTGGACTTGTCAAAAGTGTTTCTATGCAAGAGCGTGTTCAAAAATAAGCTGTCTGACATTTCAGTCACCTTCATAATCTCATACACGAGAGTACAAAAACTACAGAGAGATGAATTTCCACACATCCACGTCTACACGCTTTCCTGAATCACTCCATCAATGTAAAAAAAAAAAAAAACAGGCTTGTCAAAGTGAAGTCCAAACTGAGCAATTACTTAATGTAACATTAAGTCGAGGGCTAGACATTTCATGATGTATATATGTATATGTATATATTATAGTTTAGGCAAAGTAAGGTCCGTGCTTCTACATATTGCATATGCTCTGTTGAAACACCCTACTGAACATAAATACCTGACAAGCAAGATAAAAAAAAAACTCGCTGCGGTACCTTTCCAGACAAATTAACAAATTTTGATGAAGTTTCATCCCCAACATCTGATGCAATCCACCTCGCTGACCTGAAAGTAGCATTTCAGTTAGTGTGTGACATTTCCTGGTATAAAAATGTATCCCGAAACTAAAAAATAAATCAGATATATCTCAACATAATCCACTCAACATACTGCTTCAAAGAGCAGAATACAGCGGGTGCATACTGTAAAATGTCCTCATGTACTCCGGTTCTACAGCCACATGTCATCTCTTGGGTCTGAGTGCACATTAAGAGCTGCATTAGCAAAGATGTGATGATAGAATCAGTCCCATAGTGTCTGTAGTTCCTCAGACATCAAATAGCTCCTCACATGTGGCAGTATTAGCGCAGCGAGCTTAATCCACTTTACACCGTCTCATTGGCATACTTATTTATGGCACACACATTAGTCTCTGCACACGGCTACCAGGCTCCCTCCTCCTGACTAATCACAAATAGTCTTTCATTATCTCTGACAAAAATCTTGGCAACATCGAAACTGCAGCATCCTTGAATATTTGAGCCCCGGCGCTCAGATATCTACAATAGAGGCCGTCTTCAAACATCTCTAATCGCGGTTCTGAGGGACCGCGCGGGAAAAACGGTTGATGGATTTTGGCTGTTGTTGAAGGCCCGACTGTGATGGACACAGTCCTTCTGTCGTTATTTAAATGGCTTATGAGAATATCTGACAAAGCATAACAATACGTTTGATGAAAATATGACCTCGATGAGTCAA